TTTATGAAGCTGCAGCAATTTGTGATTTTGAAGCAGAAATTGATGGCAAATATAAAGTTAAAGGTGTTGTGAAAGAATTGATTAAGCTGTTGATGTAATAATTTATAATATATATGTGCATTAGTTAATAGACTAATTATTATTATTATAGAAAGGATGTTTATTTGCTTGAAGAATAATTATCAGATGTATTCCAATGTTCAATTGGAAATCTAAAAAGTAATCAGACGTAGTCATCAAAATCACTTATGTTACTGAACTTAAACATGACTCAGAGAATGGAAAAATATGATTTTTTGCAAAAAGATATGGATGGATCTTCTTCAGCAATAAATTCAACAGCTAATGATGGTAAAAACTTGTACCTGATGATATAAAATATTCTGGGAAAGCAAATTATGAACTAGATTTAAAAGTTAATTGTAGAATGACCTCAGCCATTCAATAATTGAGTCTCCTTCTCTTACTCAATTGAATGTTAATGGCAATTCTTAAACTTCTAATGTTACTTTGGCCAAACATACAGTATTACTTATTTAAACAAAGATTTTGCTTTAGTTGCCATGAATGAAGATCTTGATAAGCCAAGGTAGTTTTAATTAATTAGCTAATTAATTGTTTATATGTGTATTTATTATTATTATTATTTCTATTTATTTATTAAGGCATCTCTTGAATATAATCCTAAAACAAAATATAATTGTTTAATGTTGACATCAAGGTTGGGTGACAAAAATATTTTGGAGTGTAAAAAGTATTTCGTCAAATGGGGCACATGTGGCGAAATGTGACGAAAGTGATGAAAAGTGACAAAGGGTAAAGTCAAAAGTCAAATTGTGATAAAGATGACGAAATATAAAATTCAATTTTATTTAGATTTAATTAAAACAAAAATTTAATTTTAAACATTTTTTTACATTGTAAATCATGTTTCTTGGTTGGATACTTAATTTTTGTACACAATGTTTTAGTAGGAATTGCTGCTTCACATCTATTGCTGGTTTCATAACTTTCTTCAAAATCTGTAGAATCATCTGATGATTCTGATTGTTGAAATGATACTTCATTTACTATTTTAATGGAGTGTAACCATACATCAAACACAGGACATCCTGTAGCTAATTCTTGATTATTGTTAAATGAACTTTCAGGTATATTATCTAATTTTAATGTTGCAAATTCATATTATATGATGATGATTGAGAAGGAATTGGTGAATTGGGTGAATTAGAATTTGACATCATGAATTTTATTTACTCCATAATTTAAAATCTACAAAGTAATTGGTTTATTTTATTGTTTTGTTGATTTCGTCACTTTCGTCACTTCGTCAAATTACTCAAAGTGTAAAAACCCTATTTCGTCACATTTATTTTCGTCGTGTGACGAAAAGGAGACATTTCGTCACCCAACCTTGATATATATTAATCAAGAATTGATCAAGAAGATGTAACCCATGACAATTATTATTAAAGAATAAAAGGGGATATTCTATTTCGTGAGAACTTTTTATGTCTTGCAACAAGTAAACTGAAAGGTATTGTCTCGATTTTTTATGAAATTAATTAATTAGTATTAGGCTTAATTGTTGTTATTGTTTTCAGTGTGTGACAACATCCTTGGAACTACATTGGATTACACTAGTTTGCAAAAACCTGTTCCCAAGCTTTTGAATGCATTTTCTTTTTAGAGAATTAGAGGAGTTGCATTTAAATTTATGGAATATTATAAACAAGAATTGGATGAAAAACAGAATATGCCTTGAAAAAAGTATAAAGGTCGTCATTCTAAATTTACATAAAAAAATGATAATAATAATGCAATGAGAAATTTTGCCGCTATTATTAATTATTGTTCGAAAATATATTTTCGTCAAATGCCATTATATATATGGTTTGATTATCAGAACAACGAAAATTTCATAGAATCTAATCAAGGGAATATTATACCTTTCAAATTTTAATTTACCCTATTTGATTTTAAACCAATGCTGGATCTTCGATTAATTTATCTTGAATTAGACTGAACAATTGATGCGTTAATGAAATATAACCAACATAATTTGAATTTGAATTTATCCATTGACCTTCCTTCGGTAGGACTTTTCTAAAGACCTAATTATTGCATAATAATAAGAAAACGACTAATCACGCGGCAGCCCTATAATTATAATAATTCCGCCTTCAGTTCTAATTAGTTGAGGGTTAAATATCTATTGAAAGTCATAAATATATAGCAAGTGTTAATAACAATGATTTTGTAAATTTTTGTCCAAACGCATATCTTAAGAGATATTATTTTTTTCAAACATGCAAAACAATTTATTTTTAGACTTCAAAAATATTGTAACAAGCTTTAAAAGTCTACTTTGATTTACATGTCAGGATCGGAAATATTAATTTCTACAGTTTTTGTCGAGGTTATTTTTTAATTGATCTAGTATACCGTTGCATTTTATGGGAGAGCCTCTAACATTATTGTATCTATCACATGTATCTATTATCATGAAACTCCAATAAAGCGAATGACATAACTATTGTATTTTTTTTTTTTTTGCCTTAAAAAAAAAACTTCTTCCTACAGTTATTTTCGTAACTTCCATAAATTTGGAAACTGCCATAACTTTCTCGTGTTGGGCAATCTAACAACACGAACTATTGTTGTTGGGTTGCCAAATATTTTTCTTTTTCTTTTACTTGAGATATATTTTTTTTTCGCATAGTGTATATGACATAGAGAAATATCATAATGCAAGGAAGTAAATAGCATATATAATTTTTTTAACTTTAGAAATATCTATTAGTAAATAAATGTCTATAAAAATATAGTTAAAGCCTTAAACATTCAATTGATAAACAATACTAACTATAATAATAATTCCAATAACTAAAAAATTTTATTTAATTATAAATGCGAAACAACAAATACCAATACTAAAGAATATTATATTTATTGAGCTAAAAATATATATACGTCTAAGGGAAGTCTCAACGATATGTATAATATATATATATATACTTATACAAAAACTTGATTTGATATTTGTAATAAAAACGCGTCAAAAAAATTTTCCCAATTAGTAATTATTGCAGTCAGTAGACATTCAGTTTTAATTGTTAACTTAAAAACTCTAAAACCTGAAGTAGTATTTTGTAAACATTATATACAGTATAATTAAAAAAACGTATTTCTCAAGCGAAATCATTTGTCAGTCTTTGTAAACATTATAATTAAATATTGATGCTAATTCCATTAATCTCATTAAAATCAAAATACTTTAACATTTCCTCTGTAATATCTTGATATAATTAATTGATATCTTCTTCGCCTTCAATTTCAATCCTATTATCTTGTGAAACTTCATTACTTCAAATCCAGGCAGGATTTATGTTAGCATCAATTGGTAGGTATTAGAGTTTGGATTAGATTATTGATGATTTGTTTGTCATTTGATTTTTGTTGCACGAGTATTTGTAAAGCAATTATGTTTTGATGTATGAATCGATGCCAGAACCGTTATGCATAAGCTGAAGCTGCAAATAAAGAAAAAAGACGAATTGCGATTTGGTGTGCTTTTTTTTTTTTACTATTTCCAAAAACGAAAGGGATTGATCAAAAGATTCTGATATTTTAAAAATTCATCAATTGATTGCTATCACTTTCTGGAAATAAACGCTGAAAAAAAATTGTTGCTGCTTCTTGCAATTAATTAAAGGGGGCTTAATTCGTGGTCCATTGATAAACTATAGAAATTTAATATGGCCGACTCTCTCTAAAGACTTCCTATTACTGCACCACGCGCTCAAATTTTAAAAATAGCGATTTCGTGACTCGCGCAATAAAAATTTCAAAAAGGGTCTTCACGTGATTCTGGTTTTAAAAAAAATATCACCATATTTCATTATTGCCAAATTTAGATCTGATGATTGTGTGCTAGTCTAAATTTAATAATGATGGTCGTAAATTTAACAATTATCCTAACCTCGTGAACATAGCATTTGACAAATAAACATGTAAGCTTTTTTTTTTTTTAGAGATAACACGTCGCAATAAAAAGTCATTTTAAGAAAACACGAATTGTTGTTGGATAAATAATGAAGATGCATATGGATTTATGAATTGTTGTTTTTGTTGTTTTTTGTAAATAGTAAAAAAAAACAAAAAGATTAAGATGGCAGACTTATTTATTTATCTTCATTTTTGCTATCATTGGACAATAGCCTTTATTTTTTTATTATTAAACAATCAATCTTTGTTGTTATTAAAGAATTAACTAACTCTTTTTTTTATTTTTTGCGATTAGCCAAATTTTTACCTTTGATCAAAAGCCATTCACAAATTTTAATTGTTGATGGTAACAAAGATTTTTTTTTGAATTTAGAATTTTTTAGTCGTCATATGATGATTGGTTCTGTGTAAATAGGAGATATGAGTTTTCACAAATCTTAGATAGATTGGTTTTTTTTCTTCCCTAACACACACATTATTTGGCGTAGTAGAAATCCCTGAATTAAACAAATTTCATTTTATCTAAAAAAAGAAAACCGGAAATTCTTTCTTGACATTTGCAAAATGCAAAGTCATTGTTCTCATAACATTCGTGCAAGTTGAAAATGTAACTTTTCAAGGCGAATTATGGAGATTTCTATTGCTTTTAAAAAAAATTTTTCTTCTAAAAATAAACTTTATACATATATTAATACGTAGTGCAGTCACACGACGTAAAATAATTTTATATATCAATAAACTCTGGAAAAAAAATAATCATCATATTATTTTATTATCATTAAATAAAAAGAATAAAAACAATGGTTTTTTAATTGGTAATCAATGAACATGATTAAACTTTCTATCATCATTACTTTTTTCAAAAAACGTTAAACAGTGCAGTGATGATGATCATTTTGTTTCGTATATCAATTTTGCTTTCGTCCTTCCTCAAAAATCCAGTTTATCAAAATTTTATGGAGAAGCCTTTGCAAATTGCAGTTTGCATATTGCATAGTTCATAAACAGACTGCAAAAGATTTCCTTTTTGAAAAACTGTAGGTTAGTGCGTTTGACAAAGATAAATAAGATTTCTGAAAAAATATGCAAGACTGCTACTATTACTAATACTAATAGTTGTCAAGATTTTCGAAATATTTTATATCGGACAAAAACTATTACTATTCTATTCCAAAATTAAAAATTTTTTTTCAGGCCATGCATGTGTTACATAATGACGATCATGACTCATTATTATTATTATTATGTAATTTGAAAAAAATTTTTAAAACTATTCGTCATTTCCAAGAGAACATGAAATTAATTATTTTAATGAGTATTATTAAATTAGAACAAAAAGACTACATCTAAGAGCTACTGAAATAAAAGACTAGATTATTAAACCTTTAGAACATATAAATAATGTTGTGACTTTCTCAACTTCATTTTTTTGATTATCTTAATTATCTTGTAACAATAAACATATCTTTAATGATAAACATATCTTTAACGGTAAAAATAATATTGAAGTAACAAAGAAACTCTTCAATTGGCGAAGAAATAAAAGGCTAGTCTTTATAATAAGCATAATTGTTTTTCTTTGTTTTTTATTTTATTTCTTTGTGAGGTTTGGTTTTACTAGAATGTGATTATACAGGGTATCCTTTAACGGTAATATATTTTTTTGATCCACGACCTTGCATTATTGGACAATTTTGATTATGATCAACAAAATAAAAATAGTCAAGATTTTACAAAAACTACAAGGACAATGACCAAATTTTTAGAAAGTAATACCTTTAGAAAAGTTTTATATATTAATATAGAAAGTTTTTTCGGCTGAAAAACCATTTAAGGGATAATGAAACCTAACGAGAGAATTGTTAACTGGGAATGGTTATACGGATTATAGTGAAAGATAGTTTTGTAAAACATAAATATATATTATCAAAAATCATTATTTGTGATCTCACAGTGTCGAATAATTGCTTCGACAGCTATCTCATTATTAGTTCTTGCATCTCACAATTACAGAAGTGTGCTAAAACATACCAATGGATTTATATTTCGAAACAAATTCTTTGGTTATAGTCTCAAGTGGAACATTATAAAATTTTGCAATATGATCTCAATCCAGAGGATATATCTTGTTTGAAGTTTATTTTCTAAAATATCAGCGGTCAAGATATTGGAATTGACTATTTTTTGTATTCTTTTGTTTCAGAGACAGACGCACACATTTAACTATTTGTTTTAATAATTTAGTATTTTTCAGGTTTAGGTACAAGATCCATTACAGAATTACCATACCTGCTTTTCGAAGAAATAACCATTCTCCAACCGAGTAATCGTTAAGGTTAGAATTTCTCTAAAGTATAAGCAAATCCAAATCGAACTGTTTGAACATCTTTCTGTCAAATAATATACCTTAATTTTTCCTATGTCTAAGCTCCATTCGCATCTAGAATATTCCAACACCTATTTTTAAAGTACTGGTATATGCTATTGGATCAACATCTTTTCTATATTACTAAAATTTCAATTCCTCAACCGGATCAGACTTTGGTAATCTTTGATGCATAAATTAGGAAAATCTGCTTTATGTCTTTTCTAAGGTGAGATTTACTTTTCATGCTTTAGTACTAATGATGACATTCTGTCAATGCAATTTCTTTATTAGAAGCTAAACGGAATGCTTTATCCTTTCTGAAGTTGCAAGGTTTTATTGCTAACTGAGAAATTCTTGATTGGACGAGGTGTTTGTTCCATTCAATATTACGATCAGTGAAATCACTATTAAGCACAATTATTTTACCGGCTTGATAGATTAATTCAAGAAATGCAGACGAACCCTTAAAGCGACTCTGGCTTTGTACAATAATTGATACAATCTCACCCAATACCAGAATGTAAGGATTTTTAGAGCTTTTATATTTTTCATGACATTTAGACTTATTTGATATCCGATGCAGACTTTCTACTTGGAATACCACTCTATATACTATATTCTGTCAAATTTATAATGCCTTCAATTTTGCAATATGATTGAGATTAAGCCTTTTATTAACAGCATCTGAATAGATATGCTGTGTTGGCATTGCAAGCAAACTTATAGCATCAGGAATACTGAGGTGTTCTAAAGCATGTATCTTTATTGTTTCTAGGGAGAACCCATATATTACCTTTTTTAGGCGGTAGCGTTGTTAAAAATCGTTCCAGAGCTTTACTTTATGAATTGGAAAATTAGTAATATAGACGTGTACGTTATTTTCACAAGGTTATGCAGCAACGTGTCTTATTTACCTGATACAGCGGCATAGTACGTGCTGCTAACGCGTTCACGATACATTATTTTCCTGATGCAACAAGTTAAATCAGGTCCTTTTTTACACTTATGTAATATTGCAAATTGATATCGCGTCGTTTTACAAAAGGATAGATGGTAAACAAATAATCAATGAAGAAAGGAATAACAAGTAGTATTGGGTGTTAAAAAAGGAGAGGAAGAATTGGAATTAGAAAATGAAAGATAGAAGGAAAGAAGTTTAAAAAATGCAAACATTTTATTTCTGCCATAATTTTTATAAAACATAGAAAAATCATAATAACGTAACCAATATGTTTTGAATGCTTATTCATATAAAATTAAAACCATATAAGAGAAACAAAAAACAATTCTACGATTAAATAAAGGAAAAATTCAAATAACACCATCTTCATTATCAAAACCGGAATTTCGTTTATCAATGAAATTATTAAAACGCTCACTATATATTGTGACTTTGTATTGTTCGTAGTCGGACGAACTCCGATCTAAATCACCAACTATTTTACTTAGAATATTATGATTAATATTGATAAAATTATTATCTACAGTCTGGAGATAGTATTTTGCTAAAAATAACAAAAATTGGTTGCGGTTTACACGTATATCGTTACGATTATTATTAGTTGAGGAAAAATAATGGTAAGAATCTAATGTCTTCTCTTCATTTAGTGGATAGATTCTTTGCTTCAACCATTGTCCAATGAATCTGGAATTATGGTTGTTGTTGTTTCTATTGCTGTTGTTACTATTGTTATTACAATTTTGTGAATAGTTAACTATTCCATAAATTACATTGTTATTGCAGTTATTGCGGCGATAATGAGTAATCCGGGCCATCTTTAAATTTTGATTTTTTTCTTTAAAAAGATACTTGAGTATTTGAAAATAGCAACAGAATTTATATAAAATTTTACGACTGAAGGAAATATTAAAATGAAAAAAAATAATAAATGAGAAGCGAAAAAAAAAGCAATCATCGTCATCGGGCTAAATATTTAAAAAATCCAGTATTAAAATGAATAATTAAAATAATACTTTTCCTTTGATAAAATAGAATTTTACCATAACGAGTATAACGAATGCTTTGCTAAAATTTTATTTAACCTTTTTTAAAAAATTTTGTTGTTGTGTAAACAGCCGTCATGTCATCTCAGGTTACCTATTTAAACATTTCTAAAAAACCATATATTTTTGACTTCTCACCCCGTAAATATGTAATGGAAGTTTGAAAACCCGGAGAAAGAGTAAACGGAAAAAAAAAGAATATCAATGATATTTATATTCTATATAAATTAATTTTTTTATAATGTAATGAATGATGACAAATACTGTCACAACAGATTTGTTTTTGTGTCTAAAATTTTTTTCGACAAGTTAAATATGACGAAGCAGACAATATATAAATATAATTACCATTACCTTTTGTTAAAATCAAATTTTTGTTTATATATCATATAAAATCCGTTATAATGAGATTAGTATTAGTATTAATAATAACGGACTTGAAATTTTCCGTGCCCGTTGTGGCAAGGTTTGGCAACGAATTATGTATTTCAAATTGAAGATTAAATCTCTCAACCAGAACATTTGTTTCTTTTTATTTAAGAAGTGGGATTATTACGCACTAGTACAATTGGCAAACTAAAAAAAAGGACTTCATTAAGTAAATACGAAAAAAGAAAATTATCATTATTTATCATTATTTATATATGTATAATTTTTTTTATCAAGGACAAAAAAAACTACAAACAGTGTAACATTACGTAATGCACAATTGTTTATTAAGAGGAGTATATAAATTTTAGAAAAGAAAGTAAATAAATAAATTTGTTATAACTATTTACATTCCGTCTTCTGTTTTTTTATGTAGTTTCGTATTTGTTTTTATTAATGTTTTAGTTATTACATTTGATCTAGTTTCATGCAAATGTTTCAGTTGAAACCTTTAGTAATGACGACATCCAACAAATCCTCTTGGTAAAAATCATTATGGTCAGGATCTTTCGCCATTTGTTCTACTACCTATTGTCCCTGTTGTTGATGTTTATAATGGATGAGAATGAGGATGAGGAAGATAATATCAAACATTTTTTGTGGAGAGGAAGTTAACAAGGAAGAAGATAATGCTGAAGGCTCTCGTGAAGTTGATGATGATGACGATGATGATGGTAATGGTAATGATAGTGATGACGATGATGAATCGTGAAATAATAATCTTTTAGTGGCGAGATGACTTTAGTGTTCTTGCTAATTTTTTTGTGCTGTTCGATGATGATGATGAATTTCTTAGATTTAAGAATCTCCATTCGATCGCTTTCGTGTTCAATAATAGATTCTTATCAACACACAAACCTAAAGAATCATGAAACGGGTTACTTTTTCTCGTGTAATCTGCTACCAAAATTTCCACGTTTTTTTATCTTCGAAAAGAAAAGCATTGTATACTTGGCGTGAAATTTTGAACGTGTTAGCGTGATAATTATCATCGCCTATCTTAATAACTTACAACCTTTCCAGATATGTCAAATGTGGCATTGCTAACAGCACGGATTCTTCAAGCTCCTTCAGATCATTGATGAGTATGATTGCTTAGTGAACTAATAACTAATAGATAACACGAGAGAAAGGAAGGAAGGAGGATATAATATCATCATTAATCAAAAAATCTGATTGATCACTTGCAGCAAAAAACCTACTTTCAATTCTGACATAAAAAAAAAATCCCACGAATGAATATACACGACCTCATGGAATAAATATTCAGACAATATATTAAGCATCTTGAATTCTCAACAACCGAACTCTATCTCATTTAACTGAAACACCACCTCGACAGAGACTGTTTCATTAATTTTTTATTAATCCGATTAACCCGATCGTGAATAGAATTAAATTGATGACATTTTTTTGTTGTACGTTCATGAACAAAAAAGATGGCCTGCCACAGTCCACAAACACGAAGAAGATAATGTCATTATGCTTTTATTAAAAGTTGTGGTGGTGACGGTGTCAATTAGTGTGTAAAACCGCCAGCAAAATTTATGAATAGTAATAATGATGATGATTACAACAAAATAATCTAGATAGTTTAAGTTATATTTCTTGGAATGTAACAATTATCGACAGATTTTGTTTAAAGTGATAATAAATATAAATCTGTTGTAGTTATTGTTGTTATTATTGTTGTTATTGTTGTTATTGTACTAATTTGCTTTGATACGTGTGTATTATGCAAGCAACCAAATTTGGCTAGATCTGGATTATGAAACATAAATAAGCCAGCCACCAGAAAAATGGTTACATTATATATTCAATAATGGGTCAATGCAAAATTAATTATCCGATGAAAATCTCAATAATATTAATAATGTTGTCATTATAAAAATATTTAAATCGCATAATGTTTATAATTATAACGATACAATGTATAAAATAACATTGTTACAAATTTTTTGTAGAATTCATTTAATTAGAATACAGAAAAAAATAACTGATAAAAATTAATTAAATCATAAATTTTGATACAAATTAAACAAAAAATTATTTATCATTAAACCCACCCCAACTTTTATCCTTTTGATTAGGCTTTGATTTTAAACGACATGGTACTATTTGTTACACGCTCAAATTGGCGTTCAGTTTTATATCAAAATAAAAAAATTGTATTTGATTGATATAATAATAATACTCAAATTCAAGAAATGAGTAACAACAGCGATTATTAATAAAGGACAAACATCAACAAGCTTACGTTCATTAATTGAGTATGTCACCGCTTATAAAAAAAGAAAAATCATGCTCCTGAAAGAAAAATTCTTCTTTGTGATGATGATAATAATGACAACGATAACGAATCAAGTAATGAAATTGATAACGAAACAATTAATGATAATGATAGCGAATAAGTTTACGGGATAAAGATTTAGATTATAATTGCAATAATTTTGTGAAAGCGCCTCAAGATATAATGAATAATTATAAGTCTATTCCATAGACCGCGAACTGGGAAACTTCATGCAGAAGATAATAAAATAGAACAAACTAAAGCTTCAATTACAAATCAGAAATCAAGAAAAAATTTTACAGATTCTGATGTTGAAGAATCTAGTGACGGATTTAATAACGATGAAATAATTCCATTCAATTAAACAATGAAATCTTAATGAAGCACACAAACTTAGATTGATGAATGTTTTGCAATTCCTTTGACTTCAATAAAAAGTTAGAAAATAATTTATTAGTGCCAAAACGATTAGATGTGGTAATTATTAGTCTAATGATTTTTTTTAAAAAAGAAAATTTATTCCAGAATCCGATCGCGGAGAAATGCGAAAATATTATTAAATTACAAATTATCTTGGCAGGTTTTAAATATGCATCCGAAACTATTATTGAGCAATTGTTTTAATTAATTAATTAATTATTAATCATTAATCAAACAAATTTATTTATTTTGACAAATTTATTTATTTTATCTATTTTATAATATTTCTTATAAAATTGGTTTCAATATTTCAAAAAGGATTATATTTCTCGAAAGATATTGTAAAAGCAAGCCTTAATTTTGACTAATAAATAAAGATTTATAATTCACTTATTTAACCTATTAATACAGTATATATATATCAAGGTTTGGTAACGAAAGTATTTTGGAGTGTAAAAAGTATTTCGTCAAATGGGGCACTTGTGACGAAATGTGACAAAGGGTAAAGTCAAAAGTCAAATTGTGATAAAGATGACGAAAATATAAAATTCAATTTTTTTTAGAATTTAATTAAAACAAAAATTTAATTTTAAACATAGTAAACCATGTTTCTTGGTTGGATACTTAAAATTTGTACGCAAAATTTTAGCAGGAATTACTACTTCACAACTATTTCTGGTTTCATAACTTTCTTCAAAATCTTTAGTATCAACTGATAATTCTGATTGTTGAAATGATTCTTCATTTACTATTTTAATGGAGTATAACCATACATCAAACACAGGACGTCCTTGTAGCTAATTCTTGATTATTATTAAATGAACTTTCAGATATATTATTTAATTTTAATGTTTGCAAATTCATATTATTATATGATGATGATTGAGAAGGAATTGGTGAATTGGGTGAATTAGAATTTGACATCATGAATTTTATTTACTCCATAATTTAAAATCTACAAAGTAATTGGTTTATTTTATTGTTTTGTTGATTTCGTCACTTTCGTCACTTCGTCAAATTACTCAAAGTGTAAAAACCCTATTTCGTCACATTTATTTTCGTCGTGTGACGAAAAGGAGACATTTCGTCACCCAACCTTGATATATATTAATCAAGAATTGATCAAGAAGATGTAACCCATGACAATTATTATTAAAGAATAAAAGGGGATATTCTATTTCGTGAGAACTTTTTATGTCTTGCAACAAGTAAACTGAAAGGTATTGTCTCGATTTTTTATGAAATTAATTAATTAGTATTAGGCTTAATTGTTGTTATTGTTTTCAGTGTGTGACAACATCCTTGGAACTACATTGGATTACACTAGTTTGCAAAAACCTGTTCCCAAGCTTTTGAATGCATTTTCTTTTTAGAGAATTAGAGGAGTTGCATTTAAATTTATGGAATATTATAAACAAGAATTGGATGAAAAACAGAATATGCCTTGAAAAAAGTATAAAGGTCGTCATTCTAAATTTACATAAAAAAATGATAATAATAATGCAATGAGAAATTTTGCCGCTATTATTAATTATTGTTCGAAAATATATTTTCGTCAAATGCCATTATATATATGGTTTGATTATCAGAACAACGAAAATTTCATAGAATCTAATCAAGGGAATATTATACCTTTCAAATTTTAATTTACCCTATTTGATTTTAAACCAATGCTGGATCTTCGATTAATTTATCTTGAATTAGACTGAACAATTGATGCGTTAATGAAATATAACCAACATAATTTGAATTTGAATTTATCCATTGACCTTCCTTCGGTAGGACTTTTCTAAAGACCTAATTATTGCATAATAATAAGAAAACGACTAATCACGCGGCAGCCCTATAATTATAATAATTCCGCCTTCAGTTCTAATTAGTTGAGGGTTAAATATCTATTGAAAGTCATAAATATATAGCAAGTGTTAATAACAATGATTTTGTAAATTTTTGTCCAAACGCATATCTTAAGAGATATTATTTTTTTCAAACATGCAAAACAATTTATTTTTAGACTTCAAAAATATTGTAACAAGCTTTAAAAGTCTACTTTGATTTACATGTCAGGATCGGAAATATTAATTTCTACAGTTTTTGTCGAGGTTATTTTTTAATTGATCTAGTATACCGTTGCATTTTATGGGAGAGCCTCTAACATTATTGTATCTATCACATGTATCTATTATCATGAAACTCCAATAAAGCGAATGACATAACTATTGTATTTTTTTTTTTTTTGCCTTAAAAAAAAAACTTCTTCCTACAGTTATTTTCGTAACTTCCATAAATTTGGAAACTGCCATAACTTTCTCGTGTTGGGCAATCTAACAACACGAACTATTGTTGTTGGGTTGCCAAATATTTTTCTTTTTCTTTTACTTGAGATATATTTTTTTTTCGCATAGTGTATATGACATAGAGAAATATCATAATGCAAGGAAGTAAATAGCATATATAATTTTTTTAACTTTAGAAATATCTATTAGTAAATAAATGTCTATAAAAATATAGTTAAAGCCTTAAACATTCAATTGATAAACAATACTAACTATAATAATAATTCCAATAACTAAAAAATTTTATTTAATTATAAATGCGAAACAACAAATACCAATACTAAAGAATATTATATTTATTGAGCTAAAAATATATATACGTCTAAGGGAAGTCTCAACGATATGTATAATATATATATATATACTTATACAAAAACTTGATTTGATATTTGTAATAAAAACGCGTCAAAAAAATTTTCCCAATTAGTAATTATTGCAGTCAGTAGACATTCAGTACTGTACTCTTTTGCATTCCTGTGTTAAATGTTACGAGTACAGAATCCATTTGATTTGGTTGGGGTGCTGTGTACTGTATGTTGGTGTATGACTTTTTCTATTTTTGTAGACCATACAGTACAGGAATGCAAAAGAGTACAGTACTGAATGTCTATATACAATACTCAATTATTGTAAGTACTATGCGCAGCAAAAATCTAAATTTAGCATTATTATCGGCAATGATAACAAAAAGTAATTTATAAAATAAAAATAAATTTTTTGGAATTATTATCTGTATCGTTCCAAACTTGGTTTGATAAAGTTCCGGATTATTATAATAGAAGTAGAATCGTAAATTTAGAAGTTTTTTTATCCTTTTAAGCATACAACATTTTTCTCCTTTATTCGTTTTAGCATATAGCATGTCAAAAAATCAAAAGCTTCACGTAAGACATGTAACCATTGAATATTTTTATCTAAAGAACTCATATTAATATAGTAGTTGATGTTCTTCACTAATTATTAATAATCCCATATCTGAATCTAATGTAATGTTATTATTTCCAAGATAAAGTAAAACATTATTTGATGTAATTGTGAAAAAATAACCCTCTATATTAATTACAATTTATTTTCTAAAATTTTTTTACTTTGCCCATAATTCGTATGACTTGTAATAAAAATTTTCCGATGTACCCAAAATAGTCACACTACTTATTAAAAATCTTTACCCAAATTTTCATGCAACTTCAGCTAAAAACTTTATCAAACCGGATGTTACTATTACCTCAATTATAATAATCCGAGGTCCTGTTCCGAATACCCTATAAAAAAAATAAAAATCCGTTATTTTGAATCCTAATTCCAGAAACACTCATGAAGATTTCAACAAGCAAAGTCCATCTTGCCTTTCGGTGATTTTTTCATGAATATGGTGCATTTATGGAGAAAATATGGAATTTTAAATCACGGATTAGTTTTTTTTTACGGGTTATGACCAGTGTTGTGACCAGAAACTCTTTTGGCTTCCCAAAACGTTTCGGAAAATGAACTTACACTAAGGAGAAAACTAAAACTAAAACTAAAACTAAAACTAAAACTAAAACTAAAACTAAAACTAAAACTAAAACTAAAACTAAAACTAAACATAAACTACTAACCTAAACTAGTTTCGGGTGGTTTCTGTTAGTTTCTGTTTCTGGTTTTCCCTAAACTCAGAGTTTCGGGTCACAACACTGGTCATGACTAATTCAACCTAGATTAGACAAAATTTCATTGCGATCTAATAGTAGTAATAGTTGAAAAGTCGTAAGTAGTGATTAGTGTTGGTTTGGTGGTGGAAGGAAGACACCGTATCGGTTGATGGTATTCGATAGGAATTCAACATAGATTTCTCTCAAGTTGCATGGCTTTGCAATTAACTCCTTATTAATAACAACTTAATGCTGAGCAACATTCTTGGTAATTGGTTTATTCTAATGTTTGGTAAGTAGTCTCGACAATGATAATGATTATCTAAAAGTAAAGTTGTAGAGGATTTCCGTATAAGATGTACGCTTCTTCTAGTATTTTTATTCCTGTCATTGGTGGTCTTTGTTTTATAGATGATTTGGTAGTTAAATCTTATGTAGGGTGAAACTATAGTTATTTGATTTGTGATAACTACAAATATTTCTAGTTGGGCTGTCTGATTTTTTTCATCAATGGTTGTCTGGTTTGTTATAAGAAAATCTGGTGATGTGAATTTGTGATTATAAATTGTGAGCTTTTTTCAAACTTTGAACAAATTTTTTTTTGTTAGGTACTATTGAGGGATAAGGACTTTAGAAATTAATTTATATAATTTTTAATTATTTAATGTGAACCTCTGTCTATTTATTCGCTAATTCATATTTTGTCATAAAACTATCAGAGCAATTATATGGGAGGGAAATACTCGGATCAAAAGCAATTGTAAGTATCTTCTTTTGATCTCCATCTCTTTGTTATTTTCCTTGTTTACCCCTCCCTGAATTGCATCTACTGTTCTTTCTCTAGGATTGGATTTTCTTTAATGGTGGAGGCTGCAATTCTTAGCAACTTTTTGATCTCATTTGCCATTTTATTAAATGAAAAATCTTGATCCAACTCAGCCTTTTTATCAAAATGATTTTTTAAAATCCTTCCATAACTTCTCAATATTTTTGTTCAATTGGATTTAATTTTTAATTTTTTTACCTTTCCAAGCTCTATCGTATTGATTAGTATTATAAAGCTGGTTGCAAGTTTATGATGAAAAAAGTAGCCAAGGAATAGTCCAATTAGTATGAAGGTAACATTTTTAAATTTATTTGATTTTTTAGGTGAAAATGAGTGAATTGATGGTGTTTTTATAATAAAAATTATCCTTTTTTAGATATTATATCACTAACTCCACTAATACTAAATTTTGGACCCTGCAACCCATACAATAATAATAAACATTGAGCCATTTGAAGCGAGTCAATTAATTTAAACTACTTTATCAATCAGCCGCTAATAGGGATAGAAAAAATTAATTGACCCTAAAATCGTTAAAGAGCTATATGAATGAAACTTATGAAACATATTTAGAAATCATTCAATTCATACAGACAACAACAAAATCACAAGGAATAAAAAGAAAATATACAAGCGTTCTTGACTCTCGATATTGAGATGCGGGACAACATTCTTTTTTTTCAATTGACGAGATACAAATAAAGTTCGTAACTTTCGTTTAGATTATTTTTATGCTTATAAATCCAACAACAAATAACAAGTATATGGTGATAGAGAGAGAGAAAAACAAGCAAGAAAAAATTCATATATATTCTGAGGTCTAACGATCTCTCGGTTAATAAAGACAAAAATGTTATGCTGTTTGTTTACTTTAACTTTAATAATTAAATTAACACTATACGATTATTATTAGCACCTACACGAGTGTTTTGCTGCTCTCGGTAATATCATTACTAGTTTTAGCATCAAGTCCAACAGTGATATTTTTCACAATGTCTTTATCGTAGGTGATAACATATGACATTGCAATACAAATGACAAAATTCACCGTTGGGCTAATGATTGGATCCAAATTGTTTGGTGCTGCATCAATGACAGTGTTTAAATTCAATAAAATTGCAATAAAAATTCTGATCAGGTGCCAAAATATGATGGCTAAATATAATGATCCTCGAACACTTTGCGATGAATTCGTAGATAAATCTTTATGGTTTTTGTTTGCTTCATGGAAAATTCTGACCATTTGAATAGTTACAAATATATCGATAAGGAAATCTGCTATAACCCATCCCCAAACAAGAGAACCGGCTGTAAGATTTGGATCACAATAAACTGGACGGAGATTTGACGGCGAAGGCTTTGTAATTATTGTTTGTCCTAAAAATCCAATGTGCGCAATCTATCGACAATAAGAATCGTTTAATATTAATGAAATATTAATATTAATATATATATATAAAAACATCATCATTCATTAAATACTATTACTTGTAAAATCATTCTCGTGGAAAATAAAAGTAATAAAACGCAAGAAATCCATTTATCCGATTTTCTGTTGTAATTGATTTTGTTATTGATGTTACTGATACTTTCACCGATTATCCTTAATCTCAATAATAAAAACGCGGGTAAAGATCCTCTATATAGCAGGTTGACAGTCGCGTGAACATACGAGACGGCTCTACATGTTGATGGATCGACGAACGGCGGTAAGACAAAATAGATGAATTGAAATATGAACCGAAGTCCACCGGTGATGTTGAAAATTATTCTCGCAAAGTCAAAAAGGGGTGGAGATGTAATATACATTGAACGATAACGACAACGCGAAAGTCCTTTAATCCTGAGTTCAATTTTATTTGGTTTTGCTCTTTTTCGTGCAGTTGAAATCGAAACTACGGTGTTATGAAAAAACACCTAAAGTGGTAGGAACAAATGCAAAATTTAAAGAAACAATCTGTTGGATAATTGTTGGCTAAACTTCATATGAATAACAATCATTTTTATTATTTATTAATTATTAATTAATTATTCGAATACCGTTGAGGCGGCACCAAACATAAGCGTTAAATATAATAATCCATTGGCTTCTGATAATAACATTTTTATTTTTTTTTTCGAATAACTTGGAATTTTATTTCATTTTATCAAGTATATATTTTAAAAAAAACAATTCATTAGACAATTCATCTATAAAAGTTATAAATATACAATGTATGTCATATAGTAAAGAACAATACCGCTTAAACAAATATATTTCAATGTAGATGTATTATATTAAATTTCATTAATACTAATACAATACATCCAGGGTCAGGAAGAATTTTCAATTACAAAATGGTCAATTGGTTAATCGATCGAAATAAATAATGCAAACGTTTTGTTTTAATAACAAATTTGCACACCAACATAACTAATTTCAATGGCTAATTGCATATCAAAAACCAGGCAAAGTAAAACAATAAATTTCAAAGTTTAGCAAACTAGCTGTTTAACATTACACAATTGTTCAATATCCTTGATATAAGATAGATGATTGGAGTAATCAATCCAAAGGTATAAATCTAACAGGGGGTTACTTTTTTTTGTTTCACTCACTTGAGAAGATTTTCTTTGCCATGTAATTCTTTTGATTGCTTTTTTAAGTTATTTAAATAGAATTAGATAATTATGCTCAATACATTTCCCAAGTCCATCATCCATAGTATTATCAGTAAGAGTTAAAATTGTGTGTTTTTATTTAGTAGAATGAGTTCCTTGTATAATAAATCCTAGATCATGTTTTCAGATTTCTTCGTCGGATACATAGTCACTCCTGATTCCAGAACTGATGTATTGTCAGATATTGATCTCCGACTTTTGAGTTTCAAATTATCATCTCAATTCATTTTTTGGGATCAACAAGATTTCCAAGTTAGAGATTTAATGCCCTCCAGATAATAATTTTATGCTGATTGCCTCTAGCCAAAACTTTTTTAATATATTATAACTTGTCGAGTTAGCGAAATATTTTCTCTTTCAGTATAACTATATAGCTGTTCCAAAGTTTCTAACATGACATTTAGCGAGTCGATCAGTAATATTCTACATATTACAATATGTAAATTTTCTGGTGACGGAGGTGCGATCTTTTGACAAAATAGTTTAATTTTTACATTTTCTTGACGCGTCATTATAATTTTTAGATGATCTTGGACTGCGACTTTTGATGATAAATAATACAACCTAGATCCGCTTATGAATTGGTTTCCTCAACTTTGTAATTAAACCATCTAAAACATATTATAATTAAAAAAAATTAAAATCCAATAATTCGATTATTAAAAAAATAATATTTATGCCAAAGATCATCCATGTTTATTTCAACCACATCTGTAGTTGTGTATGCTAACACCAATAACTCAACTTAATCATATAATCCCTAACTCCTTGAGATAGTTCAGAATAATTATATGTGTTCCGACAAGAATGATCCGATCCTCGTTGCAAACTTCTCTCTAAGCCATTTGTTATAAGCTGAAACACAAGAAAGTAATAACATCTGTATCATGTATTTTGAAAAGTTAATCACGGATTGTAAATGCTCATCAGAAAGAAATGTGATGGTAACGTGGATCAATTAAGGATGACAGACTGATGAAATGATTGCAAGATTGCAAACAAACAATCAGCGAGCTGGCTACTCGAATTCTTCACAGGCACTAGTATGTTATATAGATTGCTGTCTCGTTTTATGAATTTGAGATGCCTCCTGACCAATTGTCTGCTTTGTAAAATGGAATAAAAGAATGAAAGTTTTGAGCTTTGGTTCACAAATTTTCAAATTGTTGTATAACTTCCATGGTTGAATGTTTATTCCATTAATCTTGTTATCATAAGCAGAATCTTTATATTTGTTCCGAAGAAAAGCTGTATAAGCGAGGTTAATGAATATTCACAATGATTCTATATTCCTAAAAATGAAATTTCCTAATTATTAAAGTACATTTACTGTCGTTAAATACTGAATATTACGTCATCATTATATGAATGATGATAGAAAAAACTCTCTATGATGTAATTACATTCTTTTAAGCTTGTTTCCCTAATTCTAGGATGTGTTGCTATTTATCTTTCAGAGTATAAGGACCCTCCAATTTTTGTCTCGAGTGGCTTACTTCTCTACAAAGCGCTTTGTAATTATCTTTACACCATATCGGCTATTTATTGCTTTTATTGTTTGTTACAAGGAACACAAAATGGGATTTGATTAATTAAATTTCTTATTATTATTAGGAGTTTTTGCATCTGGTTAAGCCAGTTAAATATGTGGGTCCGCTAATTCTCTAATCGAATTCATAGGGTATAAATCCTAATTGCACATATTCAAGTACTTTTGAAGTATTTGCAAAACTAAGGATGATGATCGAGAAAAGAACCCTGCATTCACTCACTCCTAGGATCTATCACGTAATTCAAGTCAACCATCCAATCAACTTTATCAAATTTATCATGTGATTAATCCAAATTAAAACTTTTTTGTTTCAATTTTTGTAGAAAAAAATATGTCCACCATTTCTTCTTCCGCTTCCTCCTCTTCGCACGATAAACCTGCGCCAACTCCAGCATTTACAGATACATATAGTTCGAATCTAAGTGATGAAAAAAAAGAAGAAAAATATGTACATGAGGTTTATGAAGCTATTGCACCACACTTTAGCCAAACTAGATATAAGGTACTAAAATGAATCGATTTAATTTGCAATCAATTAATCAAATTCTCTTTACTAATAAAACGAAATAAAAGCCATGGCCTGTAGTTGAGAATTTTTTAAAAGAATTGGAGATGGGTAGTATGGGAGCTGATATAGGTTGTGGAAACGGTAAATATTTTGGTGTGAATAAAAATACTTTTATGATTGGGACAGATAGGTAAAATAAATGAATCAATAGAAGGGGATATATATATTCTTTACAATTTGTCAGATTCTTCAAATTTATAAAATTTTTTTAAAAAAAAAACAGAAGTTCTAAATTAATTGAGATATGTAAATCAAGAGGATTTGAATGTTTAATAGATGATGCATTAAATTTACCATTTAGAAATGAATGCTTTGTATCCTTGTTCCATTCATTTCATAATATTGTTTTTATTGATTTTGTTTTTATTTTTTATCTCCTAACAGTTTAATACTTTTTTAGGATTTTGTAATTTCCATAGCCGTCATTCATCATTTAACAACTTCAGAAAGACGTGTTAAAGCAATCAAGGTAAACAAATGGATGATGTTGATTACAATTATCATGACAACAATATATTGGAAAAAATATGAATAATAATACATATATATTATATATGCAACAGGAATTATTCAGAATAACTAAACCAAATTCTAAGATATTAATATATGTATGGGCATTGGAACAACAATCAACACCAAAGAAAAATGCCAATAGTACTGAAGCTAGTAGTGGTGGTGGTGGAGAACCAAGAAGAAATTTTGATCAAAATTATCAAGATGTTTTTGTACCGTGGGTGATTCCAAAAGATAAAAATTATGAAGATAGAAAACAGAATGTGGTTTTTAAAAGGTATTCAAACAATACTCTTTAAAATATTATTATTTTAATAAATAACATTAATAATTAATTATACCAATCGTGACAATTGGTAGATATTATCATTTATTTAAAAATGGTGAATTGGATGAGCTAGTGATAAATACAAATTTGGCAAAAATACTGAAGTCAGGTTATGATAAAGATAATTGGTATGTTATTGCTGAAAAAATATAGTAATCATAAATAAAAAATAAAAAAATGTGTTATAGATATATACAAAGATTATATGGGGCATGCTGCAACAAAACCAGACAAAGCGAACATTGGTATTACCAAAAATTTCAGGGATCAAAATTTAGTTATTGTCATCACAATTAGTTTATAAAGCCCCATTTGTTAAGTGATATATAGAACTGTCCCTATATAAAATAGTTAATATGAAATTAATTTATATCAGATCCACTATGTGTAACCCAAGAATTATAGTACTATCAGAAGTATTTTGAAGAAAGAACAAGGGGTCCTTACATTTTCAAAATAAAAGATATTCAAATACTTGAAGCTTATCTAAGAAACGAAAGAACTACTTATGAAATTTACCAAGAAGAAAGAAATCACAAACTAATAAAACAAAGCTAATAGTGGATGTTTCCCCGTGCAGAATTGTAGCAATAGTAAAAATGTCTTTTTTTATTAAAAGTTTTTTTTGGTTTTTTAAAATTTTGAAAAATTTTGATATACCATATTTATACCATTAATATATAATTTTAATGTTAATAAAGATAACATATCAACCATTTTAATATTAAATAAGTGAATCTTCAAATGCCAATAATAGATTTTGATTATGACTTTCTTCATTGATAGAATATTTTTTAATTCTTGATATACTTTGTGGTGTTAAATTTTGTTTAATTACCCATTCTTCATCTGAAGTTCCCCCACCAGGAGGTGCCTCCAAAATATCTTGTAACTCCTCAAGGTTCTTGTCAACAAGAAACTATTGATGATCATTAAATATAATGAAAACTAAGTCTAATCAGTATGTGTAATTTTTAAATTATAAAAAACCTTACCCTAAGTTTTATTAATAATTCCAAGCAATGTTTCAATTGATCTATATTAGGAATTGTTTTGGGAAAGGAACATTCTCCAATACATTGAAATATATATAGTTGAGGAAGTGGGAGTGATAATGTATATATTTTCATGTCGAGCTCTATAAGAATATTAATGAGTTTACAAAATCATACATATATGTAAAATAATACATATTTAAAAATTTTTTTTTTAAAATTTACTTGATGTTAAAATTCCAAAGGCTTTCAAGCGATGGATCTGATTTATTTTGCCTCTGTTTTCACCTTTTTTTAATAACTTATGATATGAACGAAGCATATCATGCAATAGAGTGCATAATTTATCTAATAAAATTTTTAAATTATTTTAATTGCTTGAAACAAATATATAAACTATTTAATATATATTTTTTTAGTAAACAATACCTGTATCACTTAATGCTTTTCCATTATCAATTACTGCTTCAAATTTTCCATGTTCTATTACTAAACATTCTAAATCTCTTTTTCTAAAAGTTATTTTAATATCTGGAACCAATGCCTTTACAGAGTTTTTTCCAACAAGTAAGGAGACACGACGGCTTTTATTAGCTAAAAGTTCTCTGAAATGTAATCGTAATATATAAAATCTAAAATTAGATAATGAAAATGTGCAACAAAGATTAAATTCTAAAAATTCTTATACTTTTGGTCATCTACTAAATATTTCATTCCATCATAAAATAAATTTACAAATAAGTCTAAGAACATTCCATGGCTTATATGACTCTCTGATAGATTCCTTTCCCAATAAAATGCATCAAGACTAAAATACCTAAATCTTTTAAAAAAATTTTTTTATGTATTATTAAGTAAATTCAAATCAGTTATATGTATTATTTATCCTCTGAAAGAATATTATTATATGATTACATTTTTTCTGCAGATGCTCTTATTGCCACTTCCAAACTCAATCTAATTTCTGAGCTAAATAATGAATGGCTACTGTAGATCCTTTTTAGAAGTTTTTCTGATTCTTCGAATGTCTTGACTTTAGAAATATTTTTAATCATCTCTAGAATGTTTTTTGGGATCTTAGTTGTTGGAACTAATTCGTCCAATTTAAAAGTAAATTTATTTTTGAGTTTGACAAAATTAGAGCTATTATATTCTTTTTCAAAATCTACTACACCAATCCTAATTATATCACTAGAATCAATAATTTCATGAAAATTAATTTGATTACATATAATCAATGAAATAGCATTATTATTTTGATTACCATTTAGATGAAGAGTCATATAATTTTATAAGTTCAGATTTGATATCTTGTTCCAATTTCTTCTATATATTTTTTTAGATTTTACATTATAAGTGAATAACAATATCACATTAAAAAATAATATTTTTTATACTTACACCACCAAAGGATGGTTTAGATATATGCTGATGCTCAAATATGAACGTTTCTTCACAATTTGCATCAATATTATCAATAATATGATTGATTGAGGGTTTTGATAAATATGAAATATTGTCATTTTTTATTTTTTTATTATTGTCATTATTATTGGTTTCTACAATTTCCTTTTCATCGTCACTATTCATTTCTAATCAATATAAAATCAATTAAATTAGTTAATGCAATTTATATTAAAAACATTGTAAATTATATTGAATATACCAAGCTTCCTTTTTACTAATTTCTTATTGTATTCATTATCACTATCAACAGTAAAAGGATTCACGCTAATTAAAAAAAAAAAAAAAAAAAAATCTTATGAATAACTAGAATGGCACAACCACTATCATTCTTTTAATAATAACTAGAGTGACAAGTGGTGGTAATAACCACCACCACCCTTAAAACACTTACCTGGCAAGTTCACCAGTATGATTTTGATGGTTTCTTTTTCTCGTTCCTTGAGTATACCGTTGCATTTTATGGGAGAGCCTCTAACATTATTGTATCTATCACATGTATCTATTATCATGAAACTCCAATAAAGCGAATGACATAACTATTGTATTTTTTTTTTTTTTGCCTTAAAAAAAAAACTTCTTCCTACAGTTATTTTCGTAACTTCCATAAATTTGGAAACTGCCATAACTTTCTCGTGTTGGGCAATCTAACAACACGAACTATTGTTGTTGGGTTGCCAAATATTTTTCTTTTTCTTTTACTTGAGATATATTTTTTTTTCGCATAGTGTATATGACATAGAGAAATATCATAATGCAAGGAAGTAAATAGCATATATAATTTTTTTAACTTTAGAAATATCTATTAGTAAATAAATGTCTATAAAAATATAGTTAAAGCCTTAAACATTCAATTGATAAACAATACTAACTATAATAATAATTCCAATAACTAAAAAATTTTATTTAATTATAAATGCGAAACAACAAATACCAATACTAAAGAATATTATATTTATTGAGCTAAAAATATATATACGTCTAAGGGAAGTCTCAACGATATGTATAATATATATATATATACTTATACAAAAACTTGATTTGATATTTGTAATAAAAACGCGTCAAAAAAATTTTCCCAATTAGTAATTATTGCAGTCAGTAGACATTCAGTACTGTACTCTTTTGCATTCCTGTGTTAAATGTTACGAGTACAGAATCCATTTGATTTGGTTGGGGTGCTGTGTACTGTATGTTGGTGTATGACTTTTTCTATTTTTGTAGACCATACAGTACAGGAATGCAAAAGAGTACAGTACTGAATGTCTATATACAATACTCAATTATTGTAAGTACTATGCGCAGCAAAAATCTAAATTTAGCATTATTATCGGCAATGATAACAAAAAGTAATTTATAAAATAAAAATAAATTTTTTGGAATTATTATCTGTATCGTTCCAAACTTGGTTTGATAAAGTTCCGGATTATTATAATAGAAGTAGAATCGTAAATTTAGAAGTTTTTTTATCCTTTTAAGCATACAACATTTTTCTCCTTTATTCGTTTTAGCATATAGCATGTCAAAAAATCAAAAGCTTCACGTAAGACATGTAACCATTGAATATTTTTATCTAAAGAACTCATATTAATATAGTAGTTGATGTTCTTCACTAATTATTAATAATCCCATATCTGAATCTAATGTAATGTTATTATTTCCAAGATAAAGTAAAACATTATTTGATGTAATTGTGAAAAAATAACCCTCTATATTAATTACAATTTATTTTCTAAAATTTTTTTACTTTGCCCATAATTCGTATGACTTGTAATAAAAATTTTCCGATGTACCCAAAATAGTCACACTACTTATTAAAAATCTTTACCCAAATTTTCATGCAACTTCAGCTAAAAACTTTATCAAACCGGATGTTACTATTACCTCAATTATAATAATCCGAGGTCCTGTTCCGAATACCCTATAAAAAAAATAAAAATCCGTTATTTTGAATCCTAATTCCAGAAACACTCATGAAGATTTCAACAAGCAAAGTCCATCTTGCCTTTCGGTGATTTTTTCATGAATATGGTGCATTTATGGAGAAAATATGGAATTTTAAATCACGGATTAGTTTTTTTTTACGGGTTATGACCAGTGTTGTGACCAGAAACTCTTTTGGCTTCCCAAAACGTTTCGGAAAATGAACTTACACTAAGGAGAAAACTAAAACTAAAACTAAAACTAAAACTAAAACTAAAACTAAAACTAAAACTAAAACTAAAACTAAAACTAAAACTAAACATAAACTACTAACCTAAACTAGTTTCGGGTGGTTTCTGTTAGTTTCTGTTCGGATTTTCCCTAAACTCAGAGTTTCGGGTCACGACACTTGTTTGGTGAAGTCAAAAAAAAAACCCCAATTTCACCAATCTTGCCATGCAAGCAAGAATTTACTTGCTAAGTCCAGTACCATCAGCTGGGAATTTATTATGAAAAAAAAAGAAAAAGACTTGGTAAAAATAATATTCATATATTCTTTTCTTAAAAGAAAATTCAAACTCTTTTTGAGTATTTTTTTATTATTGTTACTATTTTATTTTTAATAATAAAGCAACGGCAGAATACAATATCCTCAATACCGATAATTTAACTACAATAAGGTAAATTCTATAAAAAATTTCCCATTTATTGATCACAATACTCGTAATAATGGTAATCAATAGTTTGTTTCTCAAAAATTGTTTCAAGTTGATTTTCACTAACATGTATGTGGAACGAATGAGCTTGAATTTTAGTAATTTAATATATTTAAATAGCATACATTTATTTATATAGAATTTTTTTAATAAAAAAAAAATTATGTCAGATTTCGCAAAGTTACTTCAAAAAGTGCCAATGATATGCTCATCCACCATCGATTATTATCGTTATGGACCACCTCAACCATCATGGAATTTGAAGTTTTATTTGATGTACAAACTTATAAAAGATGGGATGGCATCATCATCCAGTCAAACTATCGAAAATATTCAAGGAACGTATAATACAAAAACAGCTATCGATAATGATATATTTGTAGATGAGCTGATATTGTCAAATTCACTTCGTAAAAGATCAGAAATTTACATTGATGATGTTTTAAAAGATTATAATCATGTGCTTCTTGATGATTGGAGAAGTGTTAATCTTGGGGATGGATTAGAATGCGAATGGGTTTATGTTAAGAAAGAAGAGGGAGAAGAAAACAATAATAAAAAGAAAAAATATGATAAAGTTATTTTGTATTTACATGGTGGAGCATATTTTGTATATCCTCCTGGTTATCGTAGTAGTACTTCTAGGATTGCAAAATCTACAAATGCAAGACTTTTTGGTAAATATTTATATGAATCATGAAAAAAAAGGTTTAATTGACTAACAAACAACACATAATTTTATTTTCTTCAAAAAATTTTCAAGTAATAAATTATAGACTCGCACCACAAAATCAATTTCCTGCTGCTTTACACGACTCAATAACTGCCTATAATTATCTTATTAATCCACCAAATGATGCTGATTTCCTACCAATTGAACCTAAAAATATTATAATTATGGGTGATAGTGCAGGTGGTGGTCTAACGATGGCAACATTACTTGCTATACGTGACTCAAAAAAATCATTACCTTCACCAGCTGGAGCTGTTTTATGGTCAGCATGGGTTGACTTAGTTCATTCAACACCATCAGCAAAAGACCCAAAATTTGAAGAAACAGATTTTTTGACAAGAAAAAATTTTAATTGTGCAATATCTCCCGCATGGGAAGAATTTGAACAAAAAGCAGAAGAGTTATCAGAAAAGATTCGGTTAAATGTTGATAATAAACCAAGATTTTGGCATAAATCATTTGATTGTGATGGTCGTTTACAACTTTATGTGTCTAATGAAGGATTAGCAATTCCATATGTTTCTCCATTATTTGCTGAAAGTTTGGGTGGTTTACCACCAATTTTAGTGGTAAATGGTTTTTTTTTAAAAAAATTTTGAATGCTTATATACTAAACCTCGTGATGATAAAAAATAATTGTTTGTTATATAGCAAGTAGGTGATGTAGAAAGATTAAGAGATGAGGGTATTTATTTGGCTCATAAAGCTGCTAACCCAGAAAAGTACAATTTGCCCAATTACAATGCTGAAAAATTTGAAAGGTCGTCTTATAAAACACCTACAAAAGTTGTTCTTGAGGTTTATGAAGAAATGCCTCATGTCTTCCATGTAATTTTCACAAAATTTTAATTAATTATGCAAAATAATAGTGGTAATAACAACAAAAATAACAATAATATTTCAAATAGCTATTACTGAACCTCCATTCATCACCAAATATGGCCGTTAAACGAACAGCTGAATTTATTGAACAATTATTATCAGGCAAAGAAAAGAAGCAAGAATTAGAAGTCTTACGTGTAACAAGTAAAGGCAAAATCATTGAAGAGCTGAAAGAAGAGCATTACAAGATACTTGAATGTGAAAATATTGGCGTTGTTTCATCTAATATTGAAAAGGATTATTGTACTAGACCTAACGATGACAATGACAATAAATTGTAAGTGTGATGTTTTTTTGAGATTGCGCATTATTTATTTATCGATTTATTTATTGATTTATTGATTTATTGATTTATATAGGTATACGTTGAAATTGTTTGAAACTTCATTATTAGTAATTGTTGTTTATTTATTTGTAAGAATTTTCTTTTAATCAACAAGGTTTTTTTTAATTTTTAAGCTGAAGCCAGAAAGAAATTGGGAAAACAGTGATGGTTTGTTTTATTCTTCAGAGTTGGATTAAATAAAACATCCTGAACTTTTCTTTTTTTTTCATTGAAATTTCTTTCCACCTTCCTTCTAATTGGCATCCTTTTAAAGTTATCACCCGAGCATATTTGCTCGATATACATCACTTGGTTCATTGATATTTTAATGATCCTATATTCCTCGTAAAATATGTAAATGTGTATTTTTATTATAATATACAGAAGATATTATGTTTCCATATTTCTAAAAAAAAATATATAATTAACACACAAAAGATAGAAGATATTATGTTTCCATATTTCTAAAAATATATTAACAAATTAATAATGTGTTTACGTTTAGTTGGCACCATTATCACTAACAATGTAATGTATTCAATGATTTTATTGATTTCTTTTACCAGTATAGGAAGTAGAAAAAAAATCTGAAATGCAATATTAATATGAAATTCAAAGGGTGATATTTGTGATGTTATCAATCTTTTAATTGCATCAATTTATTTAATACACGACTATCCAAATTGTGCAAAATTTATTTCTCTGGCATTAAAAATTTTTACAAAATTCCTTTACGCAAAAAAGCATACAGTTCATCCTCTATAACGAACCTTCCATCCCTATATGTAATTTTTCTGTCTTTGTTCGTTATAGAGAGAGAATATAAAAAAAAATTTCGTCCAAATATTAACTAGCCAAAATTTACCAATTATAAAAAACATACATAATAAATATATCATTCGGTTCTTTAAGATTACAAATATAAATTCATGCTTTTAAAATTTATAGAACTTGATCAATTAAAAATTTTGATCCCTTTCCCTCTCCAAATATTTCCTTTCAATTTGTTTTACTTTCTTGGTTAAAAATTGTTAAATCTTGCTTATTATTTTCGCTAATAATTGTTGCTAAATTTTGTTTAATTAAGGCGTTATATGAAATTGTATTATACTTTTGTCCTATATAATTTTTTTCAAATACAGAGATTATTGATTAGTGTTTCCACAGCAATCATGGATGTAGTAACCTTTCGATTCTCTGATATTTCATTGATTTAAATGGAATTTTTAAATACAATATTAAAATTTTTCTATAATGCTTTTTAAATTTCTTCTTTGTATTCATCTAATATTTTTTTATAAGAGCTGTTAATATACATACATCCAAATACACGCACATATATACATATAAAATCTCCTCGAAAAAATTTAAACAAAATAATCAAACTCCAACCCTTTGAGTGTAAAAGATGACAACAACGATTGGCAATCTTAATTTTAATTGTATCAGTTTAAAAGAAAAATGTGCAAGTATTCAATATTCAAGTTAATAAAAAGCAATAGTTGTAATTTAGCAAGTTGTGAAAACATGTTGCTTCGAAGACTATTTATTATTGACAATCTATCGACTAGATTCTTATAATTTATCATCATACTAAATTTTTATGACAAAAATTAGAAAGTAATGAACATGGGATCAGAAAGTTGCTACAATGGAAAAATTCCCAGGAAGAAGAGTATTTATAGCATGATGATGATGATCACATGACTTTAAAAGCTTATAATTCTTTATTAAAAAGTAAAAAAAAAGTAAACCAGAATTAAAGCTAAAGACCTAAGTTTCGTTTCCATCGGTTTACTTTTTTCATTTTATTAGAAAAGTTTGGGTTATAAGGCTTCAAAGTTAGGCCATTTTATATGTCTATATGTAAATCGGAATGATCTTTCCTAAAATGCTGATGATCTGCTTATAAATTTTTCACAATAAAAGAAATAAGAAAGATCTAAAATTTTAAATTTCGGACTGAGACATTTATAGATGACTTGAACCATATCAACTAAACAGGAGAGACCGTCCTATATAAGGAAAGGATGTTCACAATTGATTTCAATTTTTTTTATACAGTTTAGAA